ATAGACTAAATGAAATGTTTTTTTCTTTATATTCTGTATTTTAATAGAGATCAAATTAGCTGTCTTCAGTATGAACTTGGGATGAGGGCAATAAGAAACCCTATTGTTTCCAGCCTCCACTAAAATGAACTGGCAGTGTGTCAGGAAAATTCCCAGTATGGAGCAGTTTTATTACAATTCAGTACAGTTGGTTCTTGCATAACCTTTAGAAAATCATACATAAAACATTCTCATCTATATAAATAAAAATCACCCACACACTTTATTAATAGCTTTGTTCACTTTTTCCCTGGGACTTGTGCTGCATGTTCCTACTGTGCCCCCCTTTTCAGTCTTTTTAAAGATAACTTCCTGTAAGCTTTCTTTAAAGCAAAAGGGTTAGGTAATATTAGGAATCCAGTATAAGTGTAAGATAATTCTTGCTAATTGCCTCTAGGCACAGATCTCTTGCTTGATCATGTACTAAAACTAGTGTCTCTAAGTGTCCTTTTTACATTTAGAGACAAGAGTGGCTTTTCACTAGATATAGTCAGTTTAACTTTAGGGAAGAAGGCTGTACTTTCATAGAAATAAGAATCATAATATATTTTATTTGTGATAATGTTGATGGGTTACTTTTAAAACACACCTATTTTTAAGGTTATACCACTGTTGCTATGACTATAGTAAATACATGGTGAAAGCAGGAACACATCAGGTTGAAGTCTTGGCCTTTTTTCCTTAGTCTGGTTCATTAGCCAGAAATGTGTGTGTTTTTAGGTATCATTTCCTGAATTCAAACATCAGATGGCTTTCCATATATTCCCCCAGAATATGTGGTGTAAAGTACCAAAATGATTTAATAATAAGCCTCTAGATCTAACCACAAATTTACAAGAAATACAAGGGCTAGAAGAAAATATTAAATGATGTCACTTCAGAATGTGGGAAATTCTACAGGACAAATAACTGAGTGAGCTTCTTCAGTAAATGAATAGTAGTAACGGGGGAGAGGTCGCTAAATTTTTTTAATATTAAAAGAGACAAGGTATGTGTCAGTTATACATCAATAAAAAAAGAGACTTAAGAGATACATGAAAAAAATACAATATGTGGACCTTGTTTGGGTTCTAATCTGAACAAACAATTATAAAATGATACTTTTGAGACGAGGGAAATCTGAATGTTTACTGGATATTGGATGATATTTTAAAACTTTATCGGAAGTGTAATGAAAGTGTTGGGGTTTTATTTTTAAGAAATAGTCCTTATTTGTTAGTGATTTATATATCTGAGACTTATTTAAAATACTCTATCAAAAAAGAAACAAAGAAAGTTGGAGTTAAAAGATAAAACAGGAACGGCAAAATAGTGATAATTGTTGAAGCTGTTCGATGAGTACGTAAGGTTCATTACATTACTCTCTCCAGGTTGGAAATTTTCCATAATAGAAAGTTATTACACACACACACACACACACAATGAAAGAAAACAATTGGTCACCACTATAATAGCAAACAAAACTATATTTATTTTAGGAATAGCCATTTTCAGCAAACAACATCCTGTAAATTAAATTAATGTTTTAAATTTGGGTAAAGGAAGGAAAGGCATTTCTAATACAGTCTTACCTAACCATAACTAGTGCCTTCTCCTCTCTCACTGAATACCATAAAATTGTAGGAAGTAATTCTTTATTTGAAGGGAATGATGAAATTTGAATGGCAGATACATCTGTCCTAGTGCTAGCAGTGAGACATAAAGTGTCTTTGCTTTTAGCATTAGTCTTTTTCCTGTGCCAGTAACCTAGGACTGCTGTCTTCTAATTGTGAAGTCAGTGGTATGGCTTAATGGCCAGAACTTCCCATATTATTCTCTGATAAAATACCTATTTTACTACAGAACATTTTTTTACTTTCCATTGTTTTTGCCTAGTTCTAGAAAAGTGAATGCTCTCAACAAATAGATTAAACCCTTTACAAACATAATTTTGTACAACATAATTCACCTTTTGGAGAATTTTTTTCTCCTGAGACACTGACTTCATGGTATTTTTCTAGTAGAAAATAGTCTGGGTCTAATCAGAACTGAATGCCACAGTCACAATCAGTACGTGGTTGCTTACCCGTATCACAGCAAAGAAAGTCTGCAAAATTAATGAACGTTGAAAACAGTTTCTTCAGTGGACTTGGTTTTGTAAGTTGAAACATTGGATTACCTAGAATAATTCTTCCATAGCAAATTTAAAACCAAACATTCCTGAGCCCCTACTCTGTAATTTAAAGTATTGAGGTACTATATAAAGTAGTGATTTTGGCCCTGGCCGGTGTGGCTCAGTTGGTTGGGCATTGTCCCGTGTACTGAAAGCTTGCTGGTTCAGTTCCTGGTCAAGACATATGCCCAGGTTTGGGGCTCGATCCCTGGGAGAGTGTGTGCACGAGGCAGCCATTCGATGTTTCTCTCTCTCCGTTTCCCTTCTCTCTCTCTCTAAAAATCAATAAAATCTTTTTTTAAAAGAGTAGTGATTTTGCATTTAAACATATTTGTAAAATCTTTTTTCAATATATCTATATAACATATTATATCAACTAAATTTTGAGTTCTCACAGTCATTTCTATCGATTTACCTAGCCTCTGTCACAGTAACATGAAAGTATAAAGACATCTTACTTAATATAGCTTAATTAAATCTGACTTGTCCCATCTTTCAAACCAAACCCAGAAAATTTGACAACAAAAATATATATGTGAATAAGACAGGATTTTGAAAAATGTTACTACTAAAAGTATTTTTAAATTATGAATATATCATAAGATAATCATAAAAGTTTTCTAGCTACTGGCAAAAATAACAGTTACTATTTATTGACTACTATTTATCAGGTATTTCACTAAGCACTGCATTTAGAGTCTTACAGTATGGAAGTGTATGCTAAGCGTGTGTACTGCACTGAGTTCAGTTGAGATTTTGGAAAAATATAAATGCCAGAAGAGGAATGTTTCTCATAATCTGTATACGCTCTGTCAGACTGGGGAAAGATCACTTTCTTGAAGTAATGAAAATATAAAAAGAAAAAAGATTGAAAAAGACAAAAAAGTAAACAAAAAAAGTAAAAAAGCATGTTTTCTAAAACATCTTGTTAAAATCACCCATCTTTTGATGAAATTAGTAACCTCTAGTCATAATGGTCATGTTCTTTGGCCCTTTACTGGAGTGGCTTCTATCCTAATTCTAAGCATGTTTGCTTTCTGAATTCATTTGACATCTAAAACAGTTGTTGACAATGAAATGTAGTTTTGACACTTCAGAAAAGACATTTTCTGCATTATAAAATTGTGTTTTTACATGTGAAATTTGAGAAGCTACCAAAGTGAACATTATCTGATTAATTTAAAGCTATTAATTATATTAGCACTTTTATGCCATTTGGTGGCAACCAGTATTAATATTTAAAATTCAACTTTTATTTAAGGTTTTATTATCAAATTGAATAATTAATTTAAAGGTTATTAAAGTAATCCATAGGAATTATATCTTGTATAAAAGAAAAAATAAAAAATTCTATATTGTTTTAAAATAAAATATTAATATTAATGAAATCAGATGCTACTTTATGATGTTTTGTTTTGTTTTCAACTAAGGCTTTTTTCCCCAGTAAATTAAAGCATCACATTACTAATAACTTCCCATCCTCCAGTAATAAGCATTTTTTCCACTATTATCTGCCTAATACCTGGAGCCAGCTTTCAGCTTTTCTTGGTAGTATGAATAGAGTAGTAAAAGAACATAGAGTCCAGTAAAAGATACTAACCTACACCTGTACTCTTTGACCAAGCTTTTACCAAAGATGCTACTGACAAGTGGGCAGATTTGAATTTTATTGCCTTTTGTTTTCTGTGGTAACATATAGGTGAACATTCAGTAAAGCAATAAAAAGAAAGATAGAAGAAGTACGTAGACTAGAGAATCAGTTTCTGAATATTTATCCCCCACCTTCCTTATGACTTTCTTGTTGGCAGGAATTGTCTTATTCTTCCTTGTACTCCAGATACATTGCCCAGTGTAGTTCATTTAAGCCAGTGTAGATGATTTAGGCCAGAAACTTTAGTAGCTCTCATGAACTGTTACTATTTGCTACCTGCAGGGAAAACAGAATGAAAGAAAGAGGAAAGAAAGAAAGAGGAAAGAGTCTCTCCTGCCTTATGTAAACCTAATGTTTGAGGGAAGGGCTCAGAAGTTTAACAATTTTTGTTTTTGAATTATATCTATCTTTATTCCATATTATTTATTTTTAGTACATATTATGTAACCAAAAAGCAGCTCACTTTTCAGTTTGGTATTTTGCAAAGTGAGAATAGCAGCTTGTGAAAAATATAACACATACAAACCTATAGCCAGCCTAAAATTGCTTGTCACCAACATCACTCTAATACCTAGAAATTTCAAACTCTGGAGGTGTGTATAACACACATGCACAAAATTAACTGAAGTACTTACAGAAACCATACCTGTAGCGCGTGCGTGCATGTGTGTGTTTTGTTGATAATTAGCAACCACATGGCAGTGTACTCAGTATTCACAGTTGATGAATAAGGGTGAGGAATTATTAATTGGAAACTAGAATAATAAATTGCTCATGTATCTTTAAAAATGTCTTTTAAATTGAATTCTTACTGAGATAATAACTATTAAAAGTTTAATAGTTTTTTTTATCATTTTGCTTTGATTTTATACTAAAAACTGCCAAACAGATAACATCTAAGTGTATCTTTTTCAATATGACAAAGTTACATAAGAAGAGAATCCCCTAGCACGTAAAGAAAAATGCAATTATTTTCTATTCTGAATCTCCAGACTGCTGTTTTAGAAAATCATATCTGATTATTTGCTCAGCAGAAGATTATTGAGTTGATTTAGCTGTGATTTTACTTAACAAAGCTTCAACTGCATTCCTACTGTGGAGTCCAAAAAAGGTAGAGGGATATAAATGATACATTCAAACTGTGATTTTTGTGAACAGGGCCATCGATGCACCCCTCGGAGCTAATAGCGGAGATGAGAAACAGTGGGTTTGCACTGAAACGAAATGTACTGGGGAGAAACTTGACCGCAAATGATCCATCACAGGTAATGATCTTTTTATCAGTAAGCTGAAAATGTCTATAAATCTAAATGTGATTGCTTGTGAATTGCTACTTAATGTTTTCCAATATGCATATATCCATAGGAAAGCAAGATAGAGCGAAGAAAATGCCTAAATGTATTTTGATTTTTGCTTTATTATTTTAACTTAAATGAGAAATTGTTTTTAAACCTATATTTTAATAAATGAAACTGCTCCTCTGGGTTTATGTGGATGAAATATATAAGTTCCTTCCTCCTAACTTACCCCTGAAGTGACATAAATAGAACCAATGGAGAGAAATGTATAAAAGAAAACCTTTGAAAATTATAGAAAATATTTTAAACATTAATTTATTTAACTGTACATAGATCCAGAAAATGGTTGAGTTTAAAGGGTTGTAGATATCCTAATGCAGACCATTTATTTTATTTAATGAGGAAATTGGAGCCCAAAGAAGTTAAGTGATTTCCCTAAGGTCATGCGGCTATTTTGAGACTAAAGCTGAGACTAAAACCCAGAATCCCACTGGCATAAACTTGTGCTGCTCTGAAAAGAGGCACATTACTTTTCAAACATTACTAGGAATTGTTCTTAGGATCTATACAATCATATATTTGTACTGTTTGATATATTTGGTATGTATTTGCTAATCTTATATTTGGTGATGTACTGTTGAAATTATAAAGGTAAAATTGTGGATGTTTTCCTCTTTTCCAAAAGTTAATGATCTTCTTGTTTAATAGTTCATTAAATTTAAAATAAAACATTTAAACCCTCAGGTATTTACACTCAAACTCAAGAGATAGAAACGTTTTATCTATGTTTCTCTATCATACTGTTTCTGATTAAAGTTTCTTAATGCTGGCAAAGCTGTCATCTTAATCTCTTAGTGTGTAATGATACTCCTTAATTTACCCCCCCTTTCCAATCCAGAATGTCACACTCATCTACAGTATGTCTCCAGTACAAAATGTCTTATTTGTAAATGTTTTCTTTCCTGATAACTAACTTGTCTTACAATTTAGCAATTTAATGGTCTTTGTTGACTCAGGAATATGTTGCAAGTGAGGGTGAAGAAGACCCAGAAGTCGAATTTTTAAAGTCACTAACAACCAAACAAAAACAGAAACTTCTCAGGTAATGAAAAAGAATATTTTTAATGGATTTAATTACATTTTTGTGTGTGTTTCATCTTAGTATCCATAGTCAACTCTGATCCTAAGAGCTTATGAAGGTACTGAAACTTAAACCATGTATCATGTTTATTCTTCAGCTCTAGTAATCCAGTTTTATCTTGCTCTCAGTAATATGAAAGTGAATCTAAGATTATACTCAGATTATACCACACAAAAAAAACATGGCACTTTTCAGAACATTTAATTTGGAAATAGATTTATTTGTAGGTTTTACTTGTTATAATTGATTTGTATATATCCTTACAGTTTATTCTTAGGAAATATTTTGGGCCATGTATTGCTCTTTTTATACTTCGGAAAATTTCATGAGAGATGCTGAAAAATGCTTAAGTTTAAGGTAAATATGAATCTTGTTAAACATACTACCTCTGGATTAAAGAAGCCAAGAAATGTCTGCTGAGTCCAATAGAGGGAGCTCATGACGTTTCGGTATGTGGAGTTTTGAGAATGGCTTGACAGACCCCATGAAAGGCATTTTGTATTTCATAGTAGCTCAAACATATAAACAGGTTACTCTGAGAATGCAAAGTGCTCTCTAGAAATTCAGAATGCCTTAATTCTAATTATTATAAATCTAAACAATTGTTGAAAACCAGTATGTGATCATTTTATTTTATATAACCAAAAAACAGTATAAAATATGTAAAGTGTATTCTTATTCACAATTTCTGGAGACTATGCACTTTAATTTTGATAATGTAATATTGATTAATATTTCCAGAGTTTAAAATAGTACATACATAAAAAATTAATTTTTCATCTGATTATAGTTATATATTTAAGGGTTATAAACCTTCTTTAGGTCAGGGTGACCATTAAAGTGCTATATCATTTCAAATTCTGATTCAGTAAGAATTTTTTTTTAATAGTCGTTACTATTGAGCAAAGTACAGTGAAAGAATTGGCTTAATGCATTTAATTTTTTATTTAAACTTCATGTGTATGTGACTTGGATAATTTAAGAGGAAGAAAATGATTTATCATTTAATAAAGTATGTGTTTATATTTGAATACCACCTTCAATAGGTTCTAAGAAAATATATTGTCTACTCAAAATTTTGTCAATAAAAGGACTATTTTTAGTCTGTTACTGTTTTTCCCAATAACAGGAAATTGGATCGACTTGAGAAGGAAAAAAAGAAAAAGAAAAAAGGTAGAAAAAAGAAAAAGCTTCAGAAGAGCAGAAGTAAACACAAAAAACATAAAAATAAATCTTCCTCCTCTTCCTCCTCCTCCTCCTCCTCTTCCTCCTCTAGTGAGACTTCAGAAAGCAGCAGTGAGAGTGACAACAAAGAAAAAAAAATACAAAAGAAGAAAAGAAAGAAAAACAAATGTTCAAGGAATAAGAACAGTGATATAGAAGAAAAGGACAAGTCTAAGAAGAGAAAACTTTATGAAGAACTTTCTAGCAATCACTGTAACAAGGAAAAAGCCAAGGAAGAGCCTGGATTTTTAAAACAAGAGAGTTCTAGAGGGACTAGCAAATGGAGTCATTGTGATTTTGACAGCAAGTCCAGAAGCCATAACCACAGCCCAGAGAAGAGAGGATCTGAAAGAAATGAGAGGAGCAGCAGGAGCCGGAGCAGAGAGGAGAGGAGCAGGAGGAGCCGGAGCAGAGAGGACAGGAGCAGGAGAAGCCGGAGCAGAGAGGACAGGAGCAGGAGAAGCCGGAGCAGAGGGGACAGGAGCAGGAGAAGCCGGAGCAGAAGTCACAGTAGTTATAAGCAAAGGGAAATAAGAAAACTGCCACAGCGAAGTCCCAGTGAAGAACGGAATAAAAGAAGTGACACCAGAAGCCATGGCACAGATATATACAGAGGAAGAAAACTACACAGAGAGAACTCAGGAGATAGGAATACTAGAGTGACGCAGAGAATGGAGGAGGAGAGAGAATAGAGACTGCATGTGACAATTAGCTGGGAATAAAAATATCCTCACTTGCTTATCAAATCCTTTTAGCAAGGGCTAATATGTACTATTGTCTTTCTAATAAAAAAGCTGTATTTTAATTTTCCATCTCTCTAAACTGTCATATCAAATACAAAACTACATGAATCTCATAAGAATGAACTTTGCAAATATTTGTAAGAAATCTATGTTGGAGCTGTAAAAATATTTTCTGTTGATAAGTGTTTCTTGCGCCCTCTATACCAGATGAAAAAACTCATGTAACTCCGTGACATTTTCTTTGTTCTGAAACATCATTAAAAAAATACAGTACAATTGAATGGGTATAATTTAATTTTTTAATTTAGATCTAGAAGCAAAGTGTAAACATTATTGAAATTTGCTAGTATGAATTAAATAATGGGTTGATCAGTATTTCTTTAAAACTTTTAAACTCCCTTCAGGTGCTTTGTTACCCAGAGTAAGCTATTTATATTTGGATGATACATTAATTTTCTACGCTGCCAGAGCAAATTACCTCAAAGTTAAAACCACAGCAAAAATATTCTACAGTTCTGAAGATCAGAAGTCTGAAATGGGTCTCACTGGGGTAACATAAAGGTGTCAGCAGGGTTGGTTCTTTCTGGAGGCCCTAATGGAAAAACCTGTTTGCTCACCTATTCCAGCTTCCAGAGACTGCCTGCATTCCTCGGCTCCTGGCCCCTTCTTCCACCTTCAGAGGTAACAGGCAAGGCAAGCCCCATGCCTAATCAATCACTTGACACTTTGACATTCTGCATCCCTCTTCTACTTTTTTTTCCCTTAATCCTCACCGGAGGATATTCTTTCCCTTTGATTTTTAGAAACAGTGGCAGGGAAGGGGAGAGAGAGAGAGAAACATCCATGTGAGATAGACACATCGATTGGTTCCCTCCCGCACGTGCCCCAACGGGAGCCTAGGATCAAACCTGCAACCCAGGTGCGTGCCCTTAACAGGGAATTGAACCCACAACCCTTCCATTTGCGGGCTCATGCTCTAACCACAGAGCTGCACAGACCAGGGCCCCTCTTCTCATTTTTTTTTTTAAATATGTTTTTACTGATTTCAGAGAGAGAGGAAAGTAAAGGAAAAGAGAGAAAAACATCTATGATGAGAGAGTAATATTGATCAGCTGCCTCCTACCTGCCCCCTGCTGGGGATCGAACCCACAACCTGGGCATGTGCCCTGACCAGGAATCAACCGCAATCTCCTGGATCCTAGGTTGATGCTCAACTGCTGAACCATGCCAGCTGGGCCCCTGTTCTACTTTTAAGGACCGTTGTGATTATAATGAGCCAACCAGGAGAATCATCCTGTTTTAAAATCACCTAATTTGCAACCTTTAATTCCCCTTTGCCATGTAACTTAACATATTCACAGTTTTGAGGGATTAGGATGTGTTTATCTTTAAGGGACCATTATTCTACCTAGCACAGATGGTCTTTCTACTACTGGCATACAGCTATTAAAGAACTGACTTCTAAAGGTTAAGTATTTATGTAATGTCACAAATGGACCAATGTAAACTATTCAGATATGTTTTATGAGTACTGGTATATAAGGCGTATTTAAACTTAGCTGCAAAATTTACTGTGGTTCAAAGGATCTGGTAAAGGGAAACTATAGGAAAAATCTAGTACAAATTACAAGTAACATGCAGTTTTTAAAAATATATAAACATCATTGGCACAAGTATTTTTATCAGGGTTCCACATTTTAAAAAAAATCTGTTGTGTAATATAATGCAAATACTGAGTAGATGGTTTTTAGGGTTAGCCGTCATAATTTTGTAAATTCTATAAGTAAATAAGTTTAAAAGAAGAGATAGATAAAACCACTCCATGTAGTCTGATACACATGTTCTTTGTCTTGTATAAGAACACACAAATATCCTCTGATTTAGAAGCAACTAACTAAAGGTGTAAGCAACCCTTTGATTTTTTAGATTTTTTGGAGTTGGTGGGGAAAACTTGAACTCCATCTACAGTATTCTTTAATAACTTACAGTGCTCCTAAAAGATCTCTTTCCTTCATTTAAAAAAAGAAAGCATGCATTTGAAAATGATAAAGACTGCTGATTTACATCTTGAGTTCATTAGTGTTGCACTAATTATTTTCTCATGCCTTTTTAGACTTTATAATTTTTATAATGTCAAAACCTATGCAGTATCTACTTCCTTAAAGGCTTTCTGAACAAATTCAGTGTTCATGAAGAGAAATGTTGAAATGCATCATGTAATTTAAAATGAATTGAAGAAATACATTATTTTTTACACTTTTTTGATTTGACTTTCACAAAAGTGTGGTTGGTCCTCTTTTAATTTTATGTGGCCATAGGAATTTTTAAAAAATCTACAGTGCTATCAACTTACCCATCCAAGGGTAAGAAAATTCCCATGTATTTATGGAAGATACTGATTTGCTGTTTGGCTTTTAGCCTTGGTCAGCCAAGGGTGCTAGACAGCCCCAAGTGGTTAGCATATCAACCTTTCAAACTGAAAAACTGAAGGAAGGCATTTTCACATATCATGATAAGATCTTTAAAGAGGCTCACCTTATTCTGCATACTGTAATGATATGGGTTAAAGGAATTGAAAGTGATTTTTAAAATAAAAATGTTGGACATCTCAATTCTACTTTTGCTTTTGAAATACAAGGTAGAAACCGGGTAGAAACTTCATAATAAAAGGGATGTCTAGTTGTATGTGTAGGGAGCCTAATACTAAAAGCCAAAAAGGAATCCTTCAAGTATAATAAATATTCAAGAACAAAAGTCCTCAACGGTGACATTTTTTAGAAAAACCACAGGAAAAGTATGATGTTTGTCATTCTTAGCCTCAATAGGGAAATTCTTTTAAAGAAACCTGGGTGTGCCTAGTGACGTTTATTTGTCCTGGGCCCTGGAAACACACTGGCAGACTTAGACATTTTGGGGGCACTCCCCTTTACCCTGGCCTAATATTTAACATAATTTAATACTAGCAAATTAATTCCTGTAGGAGGTGCTGTTGATTTACAAATGGCCAAAATGGATCAGGTTACAGGATTAGGACTTGTTTGCTTATCTGAATGTTATGTGGTTAGTCATAATTTCACTTAATAAATGTGCCAAAGTAAGAGTTTGCTGCAGCAAAGCAGCAGGTCTGCTTACCTTGCGATGTGAAATGGAGATCCTGTTTTGTATCATACAGTTTTAATCTGTAAAAAGCTTTTTCTCTGACAGGCTTGGAGAGACCTATCTTGCTGTTCTTCCCTGAGACCCCTAGCTGATAGTGAATCAGATCAGTAGACTCTGCTGGGAGCACAGCGTTTTCCAGTTTTAATCACCAAGCATTTAATATACTTTAGCATTGAAGCTCAAAGATTTCCAAAATCCACCTGAGCCATTTCACTCACCTTACCTAATGACCACTGACTGGGCCAAGAAGCTGGTGGAAGCGGCTTCCTCCATACCCTGCGCTTAAAGATTAGGAAGAAAGCTACATTTTAACTTGAGTAGCTGAAGGATATTTAGAAACCTTATTTAGGTTTTCTGAAAAGGAAACTTTGGTAGTTACCACTTCTTGAAAAGAGAGAAAGGCATGCAATAGCTGCAGGCCTTGGGACTGTTTATTGGATCAAAAAGGAGAAATCCTTTAAAGAGTTGTGAGGAACAAAAACGACCGGGAACTCTAAGGTTTGGGAAATCCGATGACAGCTGAGAGCTCTCCAGATGAGGTCCCTAAGCCCGGGTCCTGCTGACGGAGAGGAAACAGATCCCATCCCCTTCCCCCTCTCTCCCTTCACGCCACACTTACCACCACCCTCAGAGTGTACCAGTAATAATGAAGCCAGCTGCGGGGTGAAACGCGGGAGCTGCCGGCACTGTAATGGGAAGGCGCGCACGCTCCGGCCCCTACGGCCGGTGAGCCAGTGTCTTCGACTCGAGGGCCGTCCCGAGGGGGTGGGCAGAAGCAGAGGTGCCGGGGCTCCGTCGCTGGCGGAATCGGGGCTCCCAAGGACCTCTCCCTAAACCCAAAGGAAGCCAGAAAGGGGCTGGTGTAGGTGCTAGAGGGATCCCATCCCCAGAGGCGACGCTAGCCCTGCGTACTACAGTACTTGACTTCTAGAGCAGCTGCTGGGAATCTTAGGAACCCAAATCCAAATGGGAAGGCTGAGAATTAGGGGGCGCATCCCCCAGGAGGATGTGCCTCATGCGCAAGGCGGCCGCTTGACTCCCCACCCGCAAAGTGTAAAGGGAAAGGGTCGGTTTAGCTCTCAGCAACGGTTCCCCCACGCCCCACGCCGGTGGCCTCCCCAGAAGAAATTCCCCGGCCACCCCGCCA